TTCAACTTCAAAAAAATCAGCACGGGCAGTCAAACTAGGAACAATTTTAGTAATCGTCAAAGTAATATCATTACTGGTACCCGAAATACTAGTACTAGTGCTATTAGTAGTAGTAGTAGTAGTAGTCGTCGTAGTAGTAGTTACCTGCGCTCCTCCAAGCTAACTAGAATGTCCTTCTGACCTTATAACATCTGCGCGGATTCCGCGCGCGCGGGCGGCCATGTCAATTATTGGCATGGTTCTAGTAGTACTAGTAGAAATAAAAGTAGTAGTACTAGTAGTACTAGTAGAAGTAATAGTACTAGTAGAAGTAATAATACTAGTAGAAGTAGTAGTGCTAGTAGTGCTAGTAGTACCAGTCGTACTAGTCGTACTAGTAGTACTAGTAGTACTAGTAATACTAGTAGTACTAGTAGTACTAGTAGTACTAGTAGTACCAGTAGTACTAGTAGTACCAGTAGTACTAGTAGTACTAGTAGTACTAGTAGTATTAGTAAAAGTAGTAGTATTAGTAGTACTAGCAGTACTAGTAGTAAAAGTAGTACGAGTAGTACGAGTAGTACTAGTAGTAAAAGTAGTACGAATAGTACGAGTAGTACTTGTAGTACTAGTAGTACTTGTAGTACTAGTAGTACTAGTAGAAGTAGTAGTACTAGTAGTACTAGTAGTACTAGTAGTACTAGTAGTACTAGTAGTACTATTTGTACTAGTTGTACTAGTAGTACTAGTAGTACTAAACTTGTACTAAACTGGTGAATAACGTCATTCAGGCTGGGGCCCGCCTTGTACGATAGACTAAAAAAACAAAAAAAAACAATTTCGACCTCCTAAAGACTAAAACCCTAACCGCCCTTTTTGCGCGCAATCCATATATATATATATGCTACCCCCCCCCCTGATACCCACCTTGAGCGGCCTGCATGCGTGCAGAGCGAGCATTGACATGAATATGTTGAAGACATTTGCCAGCAGATGATGGATCAGGAAGGACATGAGAATCAGATTATTGAAGCAGATGATTGAAGCAAATAGGCGTGAAATTTACATAGGAAGCCCACAGATATGCGATGGCAGCAAAGTCAAGAAGGTTAGAACACAGCAGAAGGTGCTAGCAGCGACGCGCTGATTCTTTTGAACTCTGCCCCGCTGTGGTGGCTGGGCTCTCTAGGCCTTCAACAAGCAAGAACCACTGAACAAGAGAACCCGTTGCCAACCACAGATCGTGCCCCCTATGCCAGTACTCATACTGAGCAGAGCGCAAACGGATGCGCAGAAGACTGCTGCCAACTTTGCAGTTCTGGTTGATGTTCAACCGGTCTTTGAGGAAACGCCAGCATCTGTCAATGATCTGGGTGCCCTTTTTGACTGTGATTGCCTTCTTGCTGCCGAGGACATGCTTGTGCAACTCCACATACTTTGGAGTGAGCCATTTCCATTCTCCATTGACTTTCACCCGCTTCTTTTTGTGGATGACCCGGTCATGGAGGACACCCTTGACTTTGATGGCATAACTTTTTGCCGAGTCGGTGTGGAGAATAATGTCACGGTGTTGAAGCCATTTCACAGCCAATGGTTGCCATTCAACTTTTCGAATAGCACCGGGGCCTGGAGCGCGAAGTTTGGAGATGACTGGCTTCAAGCGATGGAGGACAAGCGTCTGAGGTTTACCTCTTTGGACAATGCCGCACCACTGCTCCCAGTGCAGCTGTCCATCACGACCTTCTTGTCAAACGTGGCTTCATCGGCTTCCACGTCCTGCCATTTTCCACCTTGCCCAAATTTGATGTCCTTCTCCTTGTTCCTGACCCACCTTTCACGTAGCTGGCCTAATCTCTTCTCCATATCCTCAATGCTCTTATGGTTCACATGCAGGAGGCGATGGATGGTGGGGAGGGAAACACGGTTGAGCAGGAGCATCAGTAAACATGCCTGGGTGGCAAGCGGTGTAGAAGAAGAGCCCCAATGATCCACAAAAATGGGGTGAGCATGATGCGGGTTGATGTAGGTGTGGCATTTCTTGGCACTGCATCTATGCTTTAGTAAACCTCCAAGTTGTTGAAGGCCACCAAGGGTGCCACGGCAGCATCGCGGACAGACATGCCCTTCCCATTTATGAAGAAGTCCATCTTCACGAAGCATCTCAACGGTCGGGCGAGGAGCCTGAACGTAGACCACCTCCACGCTTGCAGGTTTCAAGCGCAATGTGGCTGAGCCATTGCTCAAAGAGACGCTGCCCTCGATTGGAAATTGCATGTTTGTGACCTTTTTCTAGTCAGAGACTTTTTTCGGATGAGATAGGCGGCTGCAGAGATGAACAGTGATGTGCTGAACTGAAAGTGTCTGATTAGAGTAACTGTTTCTCAGACCAGGTTTGACACCACCAAATCCCAGGCGCCTCTGCGGTGGTTTGTAGATGGCTTTGGAGCAGTTTGCCTGAGCAACTTGTTTGTGTGAGTTTTTTGACAGATAAGTTTGCACCTTGAGGTACTGACCAGGTTTGACACCACCAAATCCCAGGCGCCTCTGCGGTGGTTTGTAGATGGCTTTGGAGCAGTTTGCCTGAGCAACTTGTTTGTGTGAGTTTTTTGACAGATAAGTTTGCACCTTGAGGTACTTAGGCAAATTGCACGCAGACAAAAATGGCAATTTTTTGCAATTTCCAGACCCCAAATTCAAAGATTCAAAGATTCAAAGGTTGAAAAGAAGTTCTTTGAATCGAAGCCCCAAAACCCAAATTCAAAGATTCAAAGATTCAAAGGTTGAAAAGAAGTTCTTTGAATCGAAGCCCCCAAAATTCAAAGATTCAAAGATTCAAAGGTTGAAAAGAAGTTCTTTGAATCGAAGCCCCAGACCCCAGATTCAAAGATTCAAAGATTCAAAGATTCAAAGGTTGAAAAGAAGTTCTTTGAATCGAAGCCCCAAAACCCAAATTCAAAGATTCAAAGATTCAAAGGTTGAAAAGAAGTTCTTTGAATCTTTCACTTGGGGTTTGGGGCTTCGATTCAAAGAACTTCTTTTCAACCTTTGAATCTTTGAATCTTTGAATTTTGGGGGCTTCGATTCAAAGAACTTTTTTTCAACCTTTAAATCTTTGAATCTTTGAATTTTGGGTCTGAGGCTTCGATTCAAAGAACTTGTTTTCAACCTTTGAATCTTTGAATCTTTGAATTTTGGGGGCTTCGATTCAAAGAACTTCTTTTCAACCTTTGAATCTTTGAATCTTTGAATCTGGGGTCTGGGGCTTGGATTCAAAGAACTTCTTTTCAACCTTTGAATCTTTGAATCTTTGAATCTTTGAATTTTGCGGGCTTCGATTCAAAGAACTTCTTTTCAACCTTTGAATCTTTGAATCTTTGAATTTGGGGTCTGGAAATTGCAAAAATTGCAATTTTTCTCTGTGTGCAATTTGCCTAAGTACCCAAATTATTTAACCACATAGTACCAAGTGACGTGCAAGTGTATATATATATATGTATACATATATATATATATATACATACATTTATTTATATATATATACATACATTTTTTACATACATATACAGTAGATCATTAAAAACCTACTTCTTGAATCAATGTGAGGTGGGTATCAGGGGGGGGGGGTACCATATATATATATACATTAAAAACAAAATAGAAAAAATATGACTAAAAATGAAAATACATTTTAGATAGGAAATATATTTGATATTAAAATTGGCAGCAATTCCTTGGGAAACCCTTCGCATCATTTCGCAAGAGCTTTCGGTAAAAAATCGATCAGAAGCCGCAGCCAAAGGCAGCACAAGGCAGCCAAAAAAAAAAATCCGCAGTGCACACGCACACACAATCCCAGGCAGAAACGTTGAAGGCAAAAAAAAAAAATGCAAAATTGTCAATCTAAGTCTCACTTGGGCTCCAGCCCGACCAACAGGCAGGGTTGACTTCAGCAGCCGGCACTTCGCCACAAAAACAAAAATGCCGTACAGACCCACCTTTTGAAACGTTTTCTCATGTTATCTTATTCTGATTGCAATCGCCATAATCTTTGCTCGTCAGTGTGCTTACAATATGTTCTGTCAGATTGATTGCCATTATTTGCCGTTTGATACATCATTTTACTCCAATTTTGATGCCATCCGCTGGATATGCGCAGCCAATAACTCCTTCTTCTTGAGGATGTCTTGTGTTTCCTGGCGGGTTTTGAAGCGCATCCCAATTTCTAGATCACATGAGGTCCCGGCATCCCTCAGCTGGGGTCTTTGTCTTCGTTGCATTCATTGAAGACCTGGCTGTTACTGCCTGAATGCATCGGCTTCTTCAACCTTCCTAAACAAGTCCTTCTTTTCTTTCTTGGTTTACCAGGTTTACTAAATGCCAAATCCTCTTTATAACCGCAATCTGAGCCAAGATTCAGCGTCCAAGTACACAAATCCCTGAATGCTTTGGCCATCTTTGGCACACTCAAAAGGGCTGGCCATAGACCACTCAGTGGTGCAGTAGTGAAAACCCAGCTCCTCACCTGGGCATGGAGAAGTGACAAAGGTGCATGGCGAACAACTACAGGTAAGACAGGGTAAAACATATTCAAACATAATATATTCAAATAATATATTCTATCAATCTCTATCATATACTCAATCATATTCAAACTTGCCCTGTGGCAGGAGGCCCACAAAGTGACTTGCAAATCAATGGAGAAAAACCGGTTCAACTGTCTCAGGCATGCTTGTTTTCATAGGCGTGGCTCATGGTAACTACCTGAGCATGTTTGCACAACTGCGGCGTACAACTATTTGCAACTCAACTCTATGAAGCAGTGTAGATCAGAAAGTTCTGGTGAACTGCTAAATGCCTTACACAATTAAGTCTTGTGGCCAAATCTGGTCACGTCTCCTTCGAATGAACCCATTTGCATCATCTAATGGTCTTAAGCTGTCTTTTGCTATCCAAGGCTTCGAGCAATGCAGCATGAGTTTCTAACAGCAATCCTTTCTCAAAGAAGCGACGCATGCATAGAAAATGTGCCTCAAACCTCAGAACACCTACGGACTCGCCACCACATTTTGGATAGTGCCTAATTTTTACTACACATCTTGACAAATTTTGACATATTAGGAACAGGAACTCTCCCTCGCGGTGGTTGTGGCGCAAACACGATGGACATCTCCAAGGCACCAGGCTCCAACTTCCGCACAGCACCTAGTGCTTGCAAAGCACATTCCAAGCAAAATAAGTTAAAGGAACTAAAGAGACTCAAAGACATTAACATACTTTAACTAATGATACCATAGGACTTGCAAACTGTAAAATTACATTGAGAAGGAATCCAATGGAAAACAAAAAACAAAGAACACACGGCATGCAGGAGTAGTTTGTATGGAGCACTGGGATGCATTCGAGGTACTGAAGGTCACCGACTCGTCTGTGATCACAGGCTTCAGGTTGGGTTCATCCAAATGGCTCAGGAATCGAGCAATACCACCTTTGTCATCTGGCACCTTCCTTAGTTGCAATAAAAAAGTGCAGCATGCTGCTACAGCAGCGACAATGAGATGAACATTAACAATTAAATTAATATGATGTTGATATCATTATGAATAACATTGATATATGTATCACTCTTAAAGCCACCAGGTCACTGAAGGTCAAGGTGCTGATGTTCGCTAACCTATCAGGGGTGACGTTCGCAACGATAGGTCTGATGTTTTGCATCGTTCTGCTGGACTCCCCAATGGCTCCACCTGCAAGCTGTACATGTTGGGATCCCGCAGCAGCCGCCCATCTTCGACGGTGAGATCCACTTTAAACAGGACTTCGGACCTCTTGACACAGTGGCAGTGCATAGTTAGTGCATGGTAGTGCTGCCAAAGGCAATTCTAACCCTCCATAGCCTTGCCAGTCGTATCTCATCTCATCACAACATACAACAGTTCTTCAGCAGTCTTGATCAGTCTTGGTATGTTTTGGATTGTTTTTGTATGTTTTGGTGGTAGCTTTCACTGGTGTTCCATTCTTGAGATAAATTCAAGCACAAACTCCTGCCTGGCAACGGTTTCTGAGGTCACCAAGTGTTTGCCCACCATTGGGTCTTCGAGGGTCTTTAACTTTGGGGCAACAAAGCCGCCATCAACCACCTCAAGTGCGCTGACAATGTCACGAATGAATCAAAGTCCAGCACCTTTTGATTTGATTGGCTGACTAGCATGTCTGGAACAATGCAGACTTCTATGTGCTTGCCTGCGCAAAAGATCTCCTTTGGCGCTGGCCCACCCGACACAGAACACGAAAAACCATCGCAAGAGATAGCAACTTTGATCGTAAGTGTTCTCCTTGAAGCTTCGCAGCTGCCAAAAAGATTCGCATTGACACCTTGAATTGCATTTCGATTGCCCATGCTTCAGAGTCCACTTGAGAGCTTCACAGTTTGAAAGGTCAAATCATCACTTGCAGCTGGAGCGAGGTGCAGAGCGAATAGACTTTTTCAATTCAGTCGCTTCGACGTGCGCTTGTGTACATGGAAACAATTGGATGCCGTTGATCTTTGGCTCGTTGGCACTGCAACATCATCCATGGAGATGCAAACAAGCAATGGCCAGCAGCTGAGCTGCAAAGAAAATGGTCGATCAGCAAGTCTGACGTATCTAGGCCAATCTAGGCATATGAGTTATACATTTATTATATTTCATATATGAGTCATGTATCATCACGTAGCATATGACAGTGATTCATAGTGATTCTCATGCCTTGACCACATATTCTGAGGACATCAGCACCTCCAAATCCATAGCTTTCACATTAGATGTGCCCCTGCACCATCCGCCACCTTTGGTGGAGATCCGGGCTCAGGCTTCAGCTTTGGCCTGTTCCCCCAAGTCGGTACTGGGCGGACGTTGTTTCTTACCCCCCTGGCACCCGGAAGTTACCCCATCCCAATGGCACACAGGGTTACCCCAGGCCATCCGGAAGTCGTTGGTTTGGCAAACAAAATATTTTAAATGTGTCCGTGCCATTGCGAACCACATATTTAATACCATCTTCTTTGGTGATAAAACCATGTTGAAAGTGGGTAACCGCCATTGGTACACACGCATTGACAGCAAAACAGCTGCCTTCCATTCAAATGAGAAAAGTAACCAGTTCTGCAGCACACGCCCCGTTATCTTGTCATGACTCTGGACATGGATTCGTTTGATTTCGGTACGAGCCCCGGCGTGATCCTACGCCATTTACTAGAACTTGCGCCAGCCGCATGGCACACCGCTTACGCCAGACATCAATAATCTTCCGCCAGGTGGAAATCCTATTGGCACACCGACGGTCAAAGTGGACTAATTCTGAAGCAGGCAACTCAAATATATCTACTTACTAGGTGTTTAATGTACACTTGTTAACCAAAAGTTGATAACCATATGCCTGTTTGAACAGTCAGAACTATCATCCTCCGCATGGCACGCCAAGTTTCATGGCATTTCCGACATACAAACTTGGATGTGATCGACGTTACATTCCTATGGTTTCTCTGATAAATTCTACTTCATGCCAATCAACCCTTTCATCCTCTTCCCCATGGCACACCGCTGATCGGATCGACTTTCTTTTTTCAGGTCATCTTCTTCTGCTTTTGGTTTCTTCCGCACAGCTTCCAGCCCTTTCACAAATTTCTTGGTTCTCTGCCCAAAAGCCGCGCCTTGCCCAGAAGCAGCAGCACAAGCAACAACAGCAGCAGCAGCAGACCAAGCAGCAGACCATGGCAAAGCCTTTCCAAAACCTCTCCGGGCTGGGTTTTGACTGGCTGCAATTTTAACGAGGTCCGAACGAGGTGCGAACAAGGTCCGAACGAGGTCCAAAATCAAATTTTGGGAGACTGATCCCCTAAGCCTCCTGACAAACTCTTTGGTAGCCACACGCTTTCGCATTCTTTTCAGAACAGCAAAGCTCAAGAGCTTTCAGCGGTGGAGCAGAAGAGGAAACCAAGCCAAGCAGCAGCTGCAGGCAAGGGCAAGGAGACAGAAGAGGAGACAAAGGGCGAGTAAGGGAGACAGAGGGGAGACAAAGGGACACAAGCTTGGCAAACAAGGCGGCGGTGACAAATTTGAGCGGGCACAGACTGTTTGAGACGTAGGAACCGTGATAGCCAAAGATACCTAAAGGCTAAAACTGCCTGGGAAAGAGACAGCAAAGCCATGGGCAGAGGAACCACCAGGCATGGGGCAGCAGGTCAGGATGATCTATGTTCGATTGTCTATATTTGAGCCCCAAACTGAAGTAAAACACAACTCAAACACATTTTTTGCGTATTAAACATGTTACCAATTTCAAAACTCACAAATCACCACCTAAACGCCACGACTGCAACGACTTCCTAAAATGGTTCATGTTGGTGAAAATCAGCTTGCCTATGCGTTTTGTGGTCTTATTATAAGCAATGATCCAATGGAATAATGGTATCATATATATCTTTTATACACACTTCCCCAGGGCACACCGACCTGAGACAACTTCAGGGGAGACGAGACAAGAAACCACATGCACATGAACCCAGTATCACGTTGCCATGTCCCTCCATGTTCAAACAATTGCAAACAAGTTCTGTATTATTTATCTGAAATATGTTCCAATCATGATATCATCTTATATCCATTTATATCCTCCGCCGAACATCCCTAATATATCCTGGACATAGACTATCTAGAGGTGTTCATTTATATTACTTTAATATACTTATGGGTGTGTCTGAAAATAGTGTACCCCTAAACCCAATGGTTAATGATCATTATCCCTATTAAATGGCTATAATTGGGAATATACCCTATTTTCAGACAAACCCTTATGTGTTCATTATCTTTCCACCTTTTCCCAACACATTGCAATGCCCAGGCTCCGCACCTCCGGTGCCGACACCTCGACCTGATCGGTTCCGTCAGTTCCATCCTTCTCGGTGAGGTCATGTGCCACGGTGGAAGGGACTCAGACAGCAGCAGCGTTCACCAAGGTGGGATCCACCCAACAATAAGGGTATACCAATAATAAACCATAGTATATCCAATATTAAACCCAGTTGGGAATGGTTGATTATTGATCGAAGGAAGTTTAGAAGTCAAACTTCCGACAATATGGAGAGATGAAAAGCAGAGCAGGGCAGAGGCACAGAGAAGAGGAAGATTAGAAGAGAGAAGATCAGAAGAGAAAGAGTAAGAGGACAGACGCTACAGATGCGCGAAAAGGTAGGAAAGTCGCGAAACACTGTGTTTTTCCAATGATTTGTGGCTCCGGAGGGCCGAAAAGTAGGCTCGCTAAAGCGGCGGGTGCGGAGCCAGCTGGCCACAGGAGCGATGAAAAAATGCACGCCGTTGTGGCGCGAAGCACATTTCCAAGTCAAAAAGTACAAAACACCACGGTTCGGACCACTTTTGGAAGTTGCGATGTCGAAAAAGTGCACCGCAGTGTGGCCACGAAGACATTTCGAAGTGAAAATGTCTACAAAAACCCAGGGGTAAGGTTCGGACCACTTTTGGAAGTTTAGTTGCGATGTCGAAAGTGGACGCCGTTTGTGGCGCGAAGCGCATTTCGAAGTCAAAAGTGGTAAAAACTGGCGGTCTCGGACCACTTTTGGAAGTTGCGATGTCGAAAAAGTGCACGCCGTTGTGGCGCGAAGCACATTTCGAAGTCAAAATGTACAAAACACCAGGGGTTCGGACCAGTTTTGGAGGTTGCGATGTCGAAAAAAGTGCACGCCGTTGTGGCGCGAAGCACATTTCGAAGTGAAAATGTAGAAAACACCTCAGTGTCGGACGACTTTTGGAAGTTGCGATGTCGAAAAAGTGCACGCCGTTGTGGCGCGAAGCACATTTCCAAGTCAAAAGTGTAAAAAAATGACGGTCTCGGACCACGGTTGGAAGTTGAGGATGTCGAAAAAGTGCACTGCCGTTGTGGCGGAAGCAAATTCCAATGTCAAAAGTGTTAAAAAATGGCGGTCTCGGACCACTTTTGGAAGTTGAGGGATGTCGAAAAAAGTGCACGCCGTTGTGGCGCAAAGCACACATTTGAAGTCAACATGTGCAAAAACACCTGTGTTTGTGGACGACCTTTTGGACGTTTTGCGATTGTCGAAAAGTGGCACGGCCATGTGGCGCGAACGAAGCACATTTCCAAGTCAAAAGTGTTACAAAAACTGGCGGTCTCGGACCACTTTTGGAAGTTGAGATGTCGAAAAAGTGCACGCCGTTGTGGCGCGAAGCACATTTGGAAGTAAAAAGTGTTAAAAACTGGCGGTCTCGGACCACTTTTGGAAGTTGAGATGTCGAAAAAGTGCACGCCGTTGTGGCGGGAAGCACATTTCGAAGGCAAAATGTACAAAATACTAGGGTTCGGACCACTTTTGGAAGTCCAGATGTTGAAAAAGTGCATGCCGTTGTGGCGCGAAGCACATTCTGAAGTCAAAAGTGCTAAAAACTGGCGGTCTCGGACCACGTTTGGAAGTTGAGATGTTGAAAAAGTGCACGCCGTTGTGGCGGGAAGCGCATTTCGAAGTCAAACTGTCCAAAACACTAGGGGTTCGGACCATTCTTGGGGGTTCAGATGTTGCAAAAGTGTACGCCGTTGTGGCGCGAAGCACACTTCGAAGTCACACTACACTACAGTACATTACACTCCAGTACGCTCCACTACGCTAAATTACACTACACCACACTACATTACACTGAATGACACTGCAACACAGATAGACAGGTAGACAGCTAGACAGATAGACAGATGAAAGGGAGAGAGAGACAGACAGGTAGATAGATAGATAGATAGATAGATAGGTAATTAGATGAAAGAGAGAGAGAGAGGAGCTGGGTAGATGAGATAGATAGATAGATGGCTAGACAGATAGACAGACAGAAAGACAGACAGATCGATAGACAGACAGACAGACAGACAGATAGATAGATAGAGAGATAGATAGAAAGATAGATAGATAGATAGATAGAAAGATAGATACATCGATAGATGCATAGATCGATACATGGAGAGATAGATAGATACATAGAGAGATAGATAGATAGACGGAGAGATAGATAGAGAGAGAGAGAGATAGATAGATAGGTCGATAGATAGATAGATACATCGATAGACAGATAGACAGATAGATAGACACATAGATAGGTCGATAGATAGATAGACACATAGATAGATACATAGATAGATACATAGATAGACGGACAGACAGACCGATAGATAAATAGATAGATCGATAGACGGACAGATAGATAAATGGTTAGAGGGACAGCTAGAGACATAGATGGCGAGACAGACAGATAGATACATGGACACATAGACAGATAGTTAGACACCAAGACAAATAGAGAAATAGATGGGTAGAGACATAGACAGATAGATAGACAGATAGACAGATAGACAGACAGACAGATAGAGAGAGAGAGAGAGATATATATATATATAGATACCTAACATATCCAAACCCAAAGTTGTAGGGTTTGCTAGATTTCGTCATGTGTTTGTAGTCTGTTGTGTTAACATGGTAGGAGTTGTTGAAGTTTCAATTTAGGAATACGAGGCTC